TTCGTTATATTGCTTGAGCCTCATGGGCATATATATAGGAGTACATGATCTACTTGGAGTACAAGGCAAGCCAGAATATTTCCTAGTCTAACCTATGTTTCCTATACAATCACGTTACTCAACATCCCCCCGCAGTCACAACGGTAGCGATGCAGACGGTGAGACTGGAGAAGAATCCGAAGGCAAGCCGACGGACACCCCCACAGTCGTAATGGACAATGCATCGCGGAGTCGTGGCTGGAGTGGAAACCAACGAGGTTGCTCAAGCAGGCGGTAGCCCTTTGTGCTGTTTGTCGATGTAGCCGAGAGCGTGGGTGGTGGAGCCGTGGTCGAGGTAGCCGTGCAAAGAATGCCGTGGTCGATGTCGAGTCGGGGTAGCCGGTGTCGAGGAAGGCGCCGTGGAGCCGCGGGCGCAAGGGGGCGCCGAGTTAGCATGGGCGCAGTGGTGTCGAAGTAGTGGTGCGCCAGGAAGTAAATGATGTTGACGATGCGTCGCGGCGGGTTTGCCAAGCCCGGGGACACATCGTGGACGAAGGCACGCACCGGTGTTGCCAGCACCGGGCATGCGTAGACGGACGAAGACGAAGTTGACGAAGCGCCGCGCCAGGCTTGCCAGGCCCGGGGACATGTCGTGGACGAAGGCACGCGGCGGTGTTGCCAGCACCGGGCATGCGTAGACGAGGGACCTGCACGAGCTGTACACCATGTCGGAGAAGTCGGAGAGGCCAGCAGAGAAGGACTCGACGACGGTTGCGGCGCCAATCGGCGCGGGGCCAATGTCGCCCGCGGTTGTCGGAGTAGATGAAGCGGTCGGGGTAGATGACGGCGACAATGGCGACGAACTGGTGCTGGACGAAGACGAAGGGGGTGGACGGGCGGCGACGGCGGCTACAAAGGTAGCGGCGGCGGCGGCCAAAGAAGAGCGGCAGCGGCCGCCTGAAGGCGGCGGCGGCGGCTAGGTTAGGAGTGCGGCGGCGGTGCTCGACGTAGGCGAAGAACCCTGACAGCATGACGAAGACCGACATGGACGGTGGCGTTCCCGCGTCAAGGGAGACGGCGCGGCGCATACCACGGGAGGTCGACGCGCGGTGACGGCGGTGGACCGCGGGCCGCGGCGCTACGGCCCGAAGGGGCGACGCGGCGGCGGCGGGCAGGTCGGGGTGACGACGGAAGACCTCGGGACGGTCGCAGGGACCGCGGGCCGCGGTGCTATAGCCCAAAGGGGCGGCACAGCGGCGGAGCGCGGGGTGGTGCAACCGCGTGGATGGCCTCGAGACGGCTGCGTGGACCGCGTGCCACGCTCGCTACGGCCCGACGGGGCGACGCAGCGGCGGCGCGAGGGTCGGTGCAGCCACGGGGACGGCCTGGAGTGGACGACCTCGGGGCGGCGGTAGACCGCGGGCCGCGGCACTACGGCCCGAAGGGGCGACGCAGCGGTGACGCGGGTCGGTGCAGCCGGGAGGAGAACCACGGGGCGGCGGCGCTGCGGCCCGACGGGGCGACGCAGCGGCAGCCCGTTGCTCGATCGACGGAGGGGCGCGCTGAACTCGGGGACGATCTTCACGGGACCTGCGAAGGCGCGCGTAACCGACGGGCCAGGTCGGTCGCGCGGCATAGATGAGGCTGATAGCGGCGGCGAGCGGGTGATCAAGCCGATCGCGCGCGAGGTCGGGGACACCGCTCGGTGAAGGCGTGGTGGCGGCGGAGTCCGAGATGAAGCCGGCGGCGGCGGGCGGCAGGGCGGCTATGATTGGCCGCCGCATGGCGCGAGGCCGCCGGGTCGGGGTGATGCAGGAGTCCCGGTCGGAGCAGGCGGTGACGGCCGGCGTAGATCGACGGGCGGGCCGTAGCGCGAACGGCGGCGGTGAAGGGCCGCCGCATGATGCGAGGCCGCCGGGTCGGGGCGACCAGCGGGTAGACGCGTGGACGACGCGCGAGGCCGCCAGGTCGGTGAAGACGCCTGTGTAGTCGATGCCGAAGTCAGAGTAGAGGCGCACGGGGTCGACGGCGGCGGTGGGCGACGCAAACCGGATCACAAAGACCGGAAAACCAAAAAGTAGACGCCGATCAAAGCGACCGGCGAGAGAGAAAACCCGGATCAAAGGATCGGGAAAAAGACGCTCTAGGGCAGCCGGTCAACACGACCGGCGGACGAACCCTAGGTACAGGCGGCGCGGCCCCCGGCGGCGGTCATGGAGGCCGACCGCCCCGGGGGCGGCGCGCAGGTGCGGAAGCGGTGGCGGCTAGGGTTTAGGATCGACTTGCGATAGATACCATGTTAGAAGGGAGAGAGGGATTTGGTGGAATAGTTGTTCGTTATATTGCTTGAGCCTCATGGGCATATATATAGGAGTACATGATCTACTTGAAGTACAAGGCAAGCCAGAATATTTCCTAGTCTAACCTATGTTTCCTATACAATCACGTTACTCAACAGTCACAAGCTACGCACATGTAAGGTCATTGATCCAATCAACAAGAACATTGCCCTTCGCTGCCAGATTCCTCAAGAAATTTATCAGGAGATGCATTTTGCTGGCACTTCCTATGGTCAACTAATTTGCGGCCCTGCTGGATATTGTCTTGTTGTTGATGTGTTCAGTGGTGCCGTGGTTTCTCCCTCACGTCTCCCATTCAGCGGTGATTTTGAGTTTGGGAGGGAATTCTACTTCAGTGGCACTTTGACGGCTCCCATTGCATCACCCAACTCACACCTCCTTGTCAGTACTGCAATCTCCCTGTTTGACTGGCCGGTCGGAAGTGACTCTTGGTCTGAACTCCAGCTTTCTGATGAATCGATAGAACAGATTGTGGAATTCAATGGTCAGTTCATCGCCATGGATGATTGTTATAAGATCTACGCTTTGCATCTGTCCCCCCAGCTTGGTCTGCAGGAGATAACAACTGAGTGGGTCGGTCACCTGCCCCCAAGCTCGTACACGAAACCATGGCTAGTGGTCTGTGGCGATATGCTTCTCATGGTTTCCTGTTTCTGGACAGTGAGCTCAGGCAGCTCAGTACTACAATGTATACCCCACCACCTTGACATGTCGATCAATCCTGCAAAATGGGTCGAGGTAAACTGGATAATTGGGCACTCTTTGTTGGGGGTGATATGAGGAGCCGGCCGTTCTCTTGCATGAGCCCGGAAAGATGGGGTGGGAGGAGCAAGTGGCTGTACTATGCTGGACTTAGCTCTTTTATTGTACATGGAGTGGGTGATGAGCGGGCTCCTTCTGCCGGCCCCAAGGTAGAGTACGAGAGAAGACGGCCCCGGGCCGGCAAGCTGCAGCCCCTTTGGGTGTATCCAAGCATGTTCTACACTGATGCACAGTGACCATCGCGCGCATCGACGGCTTGCTGCTCCACAAGCTCCTGATGAGAATTCCCCCCCTGCAACACAGAGTAGGGGCTTTTGCAACTTGGGAGGTGCATCGTAGCATTAGCACTTGTAACATTAGTAGCAGTTTGGTGAACCAGTATCTAGAGCCTGGGAGATTAGTGCTTGGAGCTAGTTAGGAGTAGTCAAGCTTCTAAGTTAGTACTATTAATTCAGCTGTGTTGTTTCATTATGCGCTGGATGATGTGTAATACTTTGAACTACCTGTTTCTTGTCTCTGCTCCAGGGACACAAATTCTAAGCTTCTACGTCGCGTTCACTTAATTTCGTCCTACGTATTTCTGCATGTCCTTGGCTTTTATCACTGGACAAGCTCGTCGTTTGGAAGTTTTGGTACAATGATAAAGAAGACAAAAACTGTCAATGTTATTTGGAATGGATATGTGCAAGATTTTACTTTGGTCAGGGAACTAAAATATACCACTAATTGCATCAGATTAACCTCGATGCAATACTATGTTGCTGTGTAATAGGTAGCTCATTCTGGCATGTTGTTGAACGATACTTTGACAAGAATCCTCCGGTGTATCGTCAGTTCCATCGCTGGTCAGCTCTTTCCTGTGTTCAGAGAACACACAGTCTGAACATGTGGTGTTTGTTCTCTTCCTCCTATGAAGTATAGACAAAATTGCAATTACAATAAAAAGTAGGAAATCCAAAGAGATTCATATTCCAACTTGTGTATTCTATAGTTCATAAAACAAAATGTAGGATTATACATTTCGGAGAGGCGGTGGCGAGCCACTGAACAAGAGAATTTGGACAAAGGGCTTAATGGGCCGATGGTCCTAGCAGCAAAGACAACAAATTCAGTTAAGTTTTCCTAAAAAAAAACAAAATCAGTTAAGTAATTTTAGTTCCATAGCACCAGAGCATAGCTCCATGACAATCCTTGGCATATAAAAGGGGATTTTATCGGTCCTGTCATGCTCTGGTAATCTATACAGCAGCACAAGACCGTTTCAAGAAACCGTTAAATGTAATGAAGAACAAGTATTTGATGCAAAGATTGTTGATATGATCTAGCTGAACAGCGGACAAGATTACAAACAATAACTTCCACAAAAAGCATAGAGTTGAGGTCAACCTTTAAAATTTAAAATGAATTGACAAGCCATGTAATCTGATTTACATGTACATATGATTTTTAAAGTTTCGAACAGAATACTTAGAATGCTACTCATAGTCAAAGTTCTAAAGGCGTGTCTAAAACATCAGCCTTTTGTGATATAAGGTAGTATACAAGATTACAAAATGGGTTTCACAAAAGGATGAAAACTGGATCTATGCTGGGCATGTAAAGTGATGACCGATGAGTCATATAGATTACTGATCTTGCATGGCAGTCAGATAACATGTGCCAAAAAGTATATTTGATGATCATCCAAGATTAGACTTGTAGCACCACCTAACACAATCATACCAAATGATCAGTTAGAAAAGGGGAGAAAACGGACACTTTACCAAAGCTATCTGGAAAAGCAATGTGATGCAGCAAATCATGCCATGAGACCTATAAATAGAATACTACCAATGAAGATCATCATCCATCATCCTTTAACTGACTATATATATCAAATCAAACTAATAACCAGACATCATGAAGACCTTGTTCATCCTCGCTCTCCTCACCCTCACGAGGACCAACGCTGTTGCGCAGTTGGACACTACCTGTAACCAGGGCTCCGAGCAATGTCAGCAGCAGCAACAACCATGGCAACAATGGCAGCAGCAGATGGACCCATGTGTGCAATTCTTGTGGCATCAGTGCAGCACAGTGACACTGCCATTTGTCCAGTCGCGTATGTGGCAACTTAGCAGTTGCCATATAATGCGACACCAGTGCTGCCAGCAGCTAGCGCAGATCCCAGAGCAGTTCAGGTGCCAGGCCATCCACAGCGTGGCTCAAGCTATCATGCAGCCGCAGCCCCAACAGCAATGGCAGGGCATGCACCAGCCTCAGCAGCATGCTCCTCTTGAGATCATGAGGATGTCGCTTCAGAGCTTGCCGTCGATGTGCAGCGTGTACGTCCCGCATACTGCAACTGCCTACGGCATCCATATGGCCAGAATTGACGGTTGATGGCTCTGTGCAATGTAGTGGTGGCAAAATAAAAGTGGCCTGCATGATCATCGCGTGGCCTGTACTGTACTAGTTGCAACTTGGAAATAACAAACATCTGCTTCTCAACGAATAAAGCATTTTCCAGAATAACATTGCACGTGCGTGTGTCTTGCATGATGCCGGCGTCCGCGCTCTTGGGCGGTGGCAGCGGCAGCGGCAGCGTCTACGGGTGTGTCCGACCAGAATCGCCGCCTCGTCGGCGAGGATGCGGAGGCGGAGGCGCTCGTCGATCGATGCGCCCGAGCCGAAGAGCTGGGCTGACGTCCGTGTTTCAGGGAAAGAGATCGAACACACAGGTTCCATTCATCTGAGGGTTACATATACAGGGGAGCAGCGGGCACTTGAGCCACGATGGAGATCGTGGAGTGGCCATGCTCGAGAGGTGGAGGGACGTGTGTGCGTAAGGGAAAACTGCACACACGTACGCTATACTAGCCTGATGTAGAGACTACGTCAATACTCACACACACATATACATGTAGCTTAACACCCTCCGCAGTCGTGACGGCGCGAGGAGCGACGCAGAGACTAGAACGGAAGTCGTGGAAGACGTCGACGGGCAATCCTTTGGTCATCACATCGGCGAGTTGCTGCCGCGTGGGAATGTGAAGGACGCGAAACTCGCCCAGGGCCACGCGCTCGCGAACGAAGTGAATGTCGAGTTCGACATGCTTGGTGCGCCGGTGATGGACTGGATTGCTGGACAGGTACACCGAAGAGATGTTGTCGCAGTACACGAGCGTCGCCGTCTTGATAGAGCACCGGAGTTCGCCCAGAAGTTGTCGGAGCCAGACGCACTCAGCCACCGCATTGGCAACACCACGATACTCAGCTTCAGCACTCGATCTGGAGACGGTCGGCTGGCGTTTGGACGACCAGGAGACGAGAGTGTCGCCAAGATACACGCAGTACCCCGAGGTGGAGCGCCGCGTGTCCGGGCATCGAGCCCAGTCGGCGTCGGTGTAGGCGCGGAGATCAAGTGTTGAGGACGCGCGCAGGTGTAACCCGAGAGAGGCAGTGCCGCGGATGTACCGGAGAGCGCGCTTGATCGGCGCACGATGGCACTCACGCGGATCATGCATGTGCAAACATATTTGCTGGACGGTGTAGGCAAGCTCCGGGCGCGTGACGGTGAGGTACTATAGCGCACCGGCGAGGCTGCGGTACTCGGTGGAGTCAGCCACACGGGGGCCTGTCGCCGCGGGCAGCTTGGCCTTGGTGTCCACCGGAGTAGGCGCGGGCTTGCAGTTGTCCATGGAAGCACGCTCCAGCACGTCCTCGGCGTACTGCTCTTGCGAGAGGAAGAAGCCATCATCGGAGCACGTGACGCAGATGCCCAAGAAGTAGTGCAGGGCGCCGAGATCTTTCATGGCGAACTCGGTGGTGAGCGCGGCGATGATGCGACGAAGAAAGGCGTCGGAGGAGGCCGTGAGGACGATATCGTCCACGTAGAGCAGCAGGTACGCGGCGTCAGCCCCGCGCGCAAGCGTGAACAGCGAACCGTCGGAGCGGGTCGTTGTGAACCCAAGGGTGGTGATGAAGCCGGTGAAGCGAAGAAACCACGCGCGCGGCGCCTGCTTCAAGCCATACAGAGACTTGGAAAGGCGGCACACATGATCTGGTTTGTCGGTGTCGATGAAGCCCGCAGGTTGAAGACAGTAAACCTCTTCCTGAAGAGTACCATGCAAGAAAGCATTCTTCACGTCGAGTTGATGGACTGGCCACCGACGCGACGCGACGAGAGTAAGGACGGTGCGAATTGTCGCTGGTTTAACCACAGGAGAGAAAGTCTCCCCGTAGTCGACACCAGCGCGTTGGTTGAAGCCACGTACAACCCACCTTGCTTTGTATCGTTCAAGAGTACCGTCCGCGCGCAGTTTGTGACGGAAAACCCATTTTCCCGTGATGATATTGGCGTGGGGAGGTTTAGGTACAAGCTCCCAGGTACGGTTTTCAACGAGAGCGGCAAACTCTTCTCGCATGGCGGCGACCCAGTTGGGATCACGAAGAGCAACACACAGAGCGCGGAAGGGGAGAGATCATCGGTGGAGCGGCGACAGAGGCAACGCAAACGTAGTCCGCGGTGTACTTCTGGTTCAGCCGGAACACGCCGGCGCGTGCGCGAGTGATGACGCCTGGCGCGGGAGGAGGCGGAGCAACGGAGCAGCCCGAGCCATCGGATGAAGATCCGACGGATGCATGGGAGCCGGACGTGCATGGTCTGGAGCAGGGAGTGGACGCGGCCCGAGACGCGGGGGAAGTGGGTGAGGGAGGGTTTGAATGTGGGCTGTAGGATGGGGATCCGACGATGCTGTTTGAAGTAGGTGTGTGCGCGCGCTCGGGAGAGTGGCAGGGCATGGGCTGACCAAGGTGCGTGGACAGGGAAGGACGAGTGGGCACCGGCATGAGGCGTGGGTGAGAGATCGTGGGAGCGGGTGGTAGCTGCGGCATGGCAAAGGAAAAAGTGAGTTCGTCAAAACGAAC